CTCTCTCTCTCTCTCTCACTCTCACTCTTTCTCTCTCTCTCCTTTTCTCTTTCTCTGTCCACCAAACTGGGATTGAATTTGTACTTACTGATCTCCAGTTTCGGCCAAGATGCAAACGAACAAATGCAATGAAGTTGAAATCGAGATTCCTTCGAAAGCGAAAAGAATATGAAGAACGAAGAAAGAACGACGAATATTCGAAATTGATCTGATGTACTGTGAGAGTATATTTGCTCAAGCACTGAAACTTGAGAGAAACTGATCGTCGGAGAAGAAGAGATTTGCACAAGGGCAGGGATTGAAAAAACTCGCCAATTCGATCCATTCATCTCGTTCGAACGATTCCGAGTCCATTGCACATTAATCACTGTAAATGCAAACACGACAGTTGCTCGACATCTTCACACAATGGTTTCATGCACAGTTTCAGCACTACAGTTTCACACGTTGTGCAGCACCTTGTTGAAATTTTCTATCTTACACTTACTTACGTGCAGCCGTAACGTACCAAGTAATTGACTCGATTCTAATAAAATCGCCGTGTTACGATCGACACTGATGCTTGACACCATTCCCTTGCGACAACCATATCATTCCACTAATTGTGACATAGTATAGAGCGTAGTTTCACGAGCTTAAACGTGAATATACATTTCATTGTGAATAGCGAGACAACAACTCGAACAAAAAAGGCTTGTAAATATTCTTTACAAACTACATTGTAAATGCATATACCATTTAAATTAGTTTCTACAATTTCCTATGGCGACTGCTTGTTAATACTTATACCGATATATATAGTAAAGCCTAAAGGATAGTTAAAGATAGTTAAAAAGTTGAAATATTTCAGTTATATACTTTACTCGATATTGTCGGCCTTTAAATTGTTTGATAGTGTAATCGTACTTTTCTATTTGGCAGGCCGCAGTACCAGATAGACAAACGTAGCATGAGTGGCCATCACGGCCAACGTGTGATGGTCAGAACGTGCAACGGCCTCGAGTTACGAGACCCATCTCTCTTCGTAGAGACCTCCGCCTCGGAGCTGGTCGAGTCCTCCGTTTTGTTCCCGAGTCTCGATTCGCGGGACGAATTACACCCTCGGTACGTAAGATTCTTAACTGGCAATCAACATTTGAAACAGCTGACAGAGGTGAAACTTTCTTTTTCTATCTTCTTCTTTGAATTATTGATTGATTAATTTCGTGGAAGGCAAAATCATACTTTTTATAGGTAGCACATGAGAAACAGATGAGGAATATTTTTCAAAACGAGAGACAAGTAAAATATGTGTTTGTCTTAGAGAGAGAGAGAGAGAAAAAAAAGAAAAAAAGAAAAGGAAAGAAAAAAAAAACGAAATGTGTGATTATTATTAGGGAATTGGAAGCTGTGAATTTAGGAAGCGCGTGTCGTATTCACGGTTCACCAGCGGCCACGGCTGCTCCTCCACCGCAACTGCCGACCGAGGAGAGCGTGGACGCTCTCTGCAACACTCTTCATCATTGGCACCACTGCCCAGAACTGTACAAGGCTATCGAAGGGATTCGTTTCATTGCTGACCACACGAAGAGAGAAGAGGACTCCACCAGAGTACGCAAAGCTTTCCCTTTTACTTTGTCGTGTAAAACGAAAACTAACGTGACGATAACGTTAGTTTTCGCCGCTTGAAATTACTTGAGAATCTATCTAATTGTTGTAAACTGTGTCCAGGTCAAGGAAGATTGGAAGTACGTCGCGATGGTGCTTGACAGGCTATTCCTGTGGATTTTTACACTGGCTGTATTCGTCGGCACGGCAGGCATCATCCTGCAGGCACCAACGCTGTACGACGATCGCACGCCCATTGACGTGCGGCTGTCCGAGATCGCTTCCACCACTGCCAAGCCACACATCGTCACAAGCCTCTGAGAGACAATTGTTCAATTTCGTTACCTTCACGCATCGCACACACGCGCGTGCACGCGTACACACGTATACAATGTAGTACGCAACAACGTAAGAACTTAAACTATGAGATGAGTTGCACACATTGACCCCCCCTCCAGGGACTCGTGTTGCGAAGAATATTCACTGTGCTGTCAATCATTCCGATGGTACTTATATAGGTTGTACGGAAAGAAGTCTGTTAGCGTTAATCGACATCGATAACCTTCGATCGCCATTTTGCTAGATCCGAAGGGGCCTGGTATCGTTCGATTATTTCTAGTCCTATCATTGAAATATATATAATATGCACTTTCGTCGCTTGAATCGGATTGATTCGTTTACCGGGTTGTTAATAGTTCTTTGATCCTCGTGAGGCGTTCGCTTATGTTTTACGATCGTTTAGTTTTTATCGAGGGGAGATTGATTGGTTTGTAATAACGATAACGATCAAATATACATTGTTTCAGTAAGATACATTGGTAAATGTGTCCCAGGTGTTGTTCGATTTCATTCGAATTGAACCAGAGGTTTCTCTCGTCCTTGGCGTAAACGACTGAAAGACTGAAGCCTCGGTGAAAGAGAGAGAGAGAGAGAGAGAGAGAGAGAGAGAGAGAGTCTTCGACTTTTCGGCGTCATGTTGTACGACTAATGGCCAATTAACTGCTACTTCCCTGCTCAAGGCGAGGATTCTCAAATCATACGCACATCAACGATCAGAACGTAGGAATAAACACTAACGAACATGGACGAACAATTAGACGAGATGGAAGCGAGGTGTAATTAAATGTAATTAAATGTATTTCTTGGCCCCAGGTCGCACTCTTGGAAGTGTCCATCATTTCCAAACGATGACGTTACGTTTTCCTTCCGTTCCCCATCGTAAAAACACATACGAACGAAAGCGAGATGCGAGAGGCAAGAAATATATTTCTGCATGAACGTGTTGAAAGCAAACGGTTTTTGACTCGTGGTTTTATACGTAGGATGATCAAGTTGTCGAAACACGTGTACGCAACATAGAATTAAATACGGAGAGACTTAAAAAAAAGAAATGGGTTCGATTTTATGCCAGTTGCATAATTGTGATTCTTTAATTGTGATTCACCAAGTCATTTCTAACGCTGGTCGAGAACAACATTAATTTAGCATTTAACTGTTCAAAAGAAACGCTGTTCCGTTCCGAACGCAGTTGAAAATGTTCCGTGAAGAACACACTTTTTACCATTCGATCGCATTGAAGTGTTTCGTTGCGAAGAAAAAAAGAAAAAGAAAGCGGGACCCCGAAGTGTCATATTTTAGACACGACGTATTTCCGAATCGGAAGCAAGATCTAATAAGGCGGGAAACGATCAACGACGAATCAAAGCAATCGTAAAAATTGTAGAGAAAAAAAAAATGGTGAAAAAGGATCACAATCGTTGATGTAGGTGGCATGGAATTCGATGAAGCTTGTTGCAGACTCAGGAAGAAGGGGAAAAAGAAGAAATAATGAAAAAAGATATTGAACATTTTCCAAAGTTTACATCGAGCCTGTAACATGTGGGGCCATAATATTTTCACAAACTAAAAAAAAAAAAAAAAGAAAAAAAATAATAATAAAAACGGGGAGGGGAGGAAAAAGAAATAGAGAACAAAGCCGCGTGTCTCTCTAGTTGTGTGAAGCTGTAAATTCTAAATCTATCTGTATCCACGTACGGTGCGGTGCAAAATGGCGTATAGAGAAGAAAAAGCGTTGGGCCTAAGAAAGTTTCACCGACTCAACTTTTATTGCTCATAATAACGTAATATGTTCGTAATAAGATACTTTCGTAATTACGTTCGTTCCAGCATCACCGATGTGGACCGTGTGAGACGTTTATTAGACGTTATATATTAACATAGCATGCATGAAGAGACACAGGGAGAACAAAGGTGAAATGCACGGAGAGCGAAAAGAATATGAAAACGTTGCAACTGTTTATTATTGCAATCGCGTTCCAAATAATTTATTGTCTTCCTAAGCTATAACGAAAAATTAATGACTTACTTTCCATGGGCAACAGCCACGCGTTCCCGGTTCGTTGTTGCTCTCAATGAACACGCGAGAAACAAACGAAAAGAAAGAGAAAAAAAATAGATGATTGAAAAAAAGGGTGGTAAATAAGTAGAGCCGAGTAATTGGCAGAATTATTAGTTATTATATATATATATATATATATATGAATAGCCAGGATTTTATGTCTTAAAGAACAAAGCAACGATCCGCTGCTTAAAAATCCTTTTCGACGAGATTCTTTT